GTCTTTTAGGATTCTTAATTCTGAATGGTGCCCCCACGCATCTCAGCATGCTTAGGGGTGCAGGAACCACAGGGAAAACACATGATCAAAAACAACATACGGTTTTCCTGCTGCTGCGTTTTTAGTAAGGTGCAGGCACCTTTTTCTGCGGGATACGCAGGCATAGCAGCTCATTAAAACGAATGGATGGTCATGCCCGAGCAAACATGGGCCACAAAGCCTGCAGTAGTGTGAACTGAGAGTAAATTCTCTGCAAGGGTACAAAAAAAAAAGTTTTCTATGTGTCCTGTTTACACATTAACACTGCTATCGTGCGGATTTCATTGCGCAGAGATATGCAACATAAATTCTTTGCAAGGTCATCAAAAACCATAGTTTTCTATGTGTCCTGTTCATGCCATAACACTAATATCCCATGCAGATTTTTTTGTGCAGAGATATGTAACAAATTCTCTGCAAGGGCACAAAACAAAAAAAATTGTTTTCTATGTGCCTTGTTCGCACCATAAAAGTGGTATCGTGCAGATTTTTTCTGAGCAGGAATCTGCAACTTGTATGCAGTTTTCAGTGCAGAAAAAACAGACATGACTTCAATATTGTGGTGTGAACAGGGCACATTTTTTGTGCCCTTGCTGAGAGTTTGTTACATATCTCTGCCCAAAAAAAGAAAATCTGCACGTAATATCAGTGTTATGGAGTGAACGGGACACATAGAAAACAATTGTTTTTGTGCCCTTGCAGAAAATGTATGTTGCATATCTCCAAGCAGAGACAAATCTGTATGGGATACAAGTGTTATGGTTTGAACAGGACACATAGAAAACAGTTGCTTTCTTTGTGTTCTTGCAGAGCTGTACATAATAAACACGCACACCTCTGCGCATGGTGTGAACAAGCCTATGCAAGTTAGGTTGCTTTCACACCAGGGGCGGACTGACCATTTGGAAACTCGGGCACTGCCCGAGGGCCCGGGGTCATGAGATGCCCCGGTACCTTTTTCATAGCCTTTTTTTGAGTTTGGGCAAGGACACAGGGGCCCCATGATCCCCTATTGCCCGGGGGCCCCATGGATTGTCAATCCGCCCCTGAAATTCACACTGATCTGTTTTTCTTCTGCTTTTGTGTTTAAAAAAAAAAAAAAGCAGAAGAAATATGTGACTATGTATTCCTATGAAGCTCATTGCACTGATCCCTTGCAGATCTTCTACATTTTTAAAAAATCCTGCTTGCTGCATTTTTGGTGCGGTACTAAACTGCGCGAAAAACACACCTCCCATTGAAACTAATAGAAAAGGGAAAAACGCATATGCTTTGCGGTTTTTGTGGGGTTTGAGTTGCATACCTCGTAAAAAAAAAAAAACGCACCACAAACGCGGGAAGAATTTGGGGAAAAAAAAGCATATGCATTTTAGTTACGGATCAGTGTGAAAGTGGTTTTAATTTGCATGTTTTTTCCATCAGTTTTTATCACTTGTGGTGTGAAAGAGGCCTGTGGGAATGTGTGGGTAACCCACACGAAAGCCACGGGTACACTGTGCTGTGACCACAGCGGGGCAGTGTGACTTACACCACGATTCCAGGCACCTTAAAGATATATTCCAGGTATGGCTATTGTTACATTGTTTTATTTGTCCGGCTTGGATCCTTGTAAATATCAATATATCATACCTGTAGGATCCCTCTAGAACAGGACTTCTCAACCTTTTTGTCATTGAGGAATCCTTGAAATAACACTCAGATCTCAGGGAACCCCTGCTAATAATTACTATACATTCAGCTCTCACAGTACACAGCTTGGTGGGCAGTGGAAAGGAATGCTCTTACACATAAAAAAAAAAAAAAAATCACTGGTTGGTAACTTACCTGAGAGGCAGAAATTGCTGATTGCTTAAAGCCGAAGTTCACCTTTTGAAAAAAAAAAAAAGTAATAAATGCCCTTTTTTTGCAGGTAAAAAACAAATGTGAATTTATTTATGGGCAGCACAGTGGCTAAATGGTTCGCACTTCCACTTGGCAGTACTAGGGTCGTCTGTTCGAATCCCAACCACGGCACCACCTGCTTGGAGTTTGCATGTTCTCCCTGTGCCTCCCACTCTCCAAAGACATGCTGGTAGGTGAATTGGATCCTGTCTAAATTGGCCCTAGTGTGTGTATGTATGAATGTGAGTTAGGGTCTTAGATTGTAGATTTTGAATTGAATGGGGCAGCACAGTGGCTAAATGGTTAGCACTTCTGCCTGGCAGTACTAGAGTCGTTGGTTCGAATCCCAGCCACGGCACCTCCTACCAGGAGTTTACATGTTCTCCCTGTGCCTGTGTGGGTTTCCACCGGGTACTCCGGTTTCCTGCCACACTCCAAAAGACATGCTGGTAGGTTAATTGGATCCTGTCTAAATTGGCCCTTGTATATGAATGTGAGTTCGGGACCTTAGATTGTATGCCACTTGAGGGTTAGGGACTGATGTGAATGTACAATGTATATGTAAAGTGCTGCGTAAAGTGATGGCGCTATAGAAGTACCTGAAATGTATTTTTCTAAGGAGCCTGCAGAGCATTGCACCTCCAATCAACAGATAGCAGGTACAATCTCAGCATCGCTGTCTTCCTGTACCTCGTATGAGCAGGCAGTTACTTGAGAGCAGGAATATCTGTTGACTGCAAGAGCACTCACTAGCGCCCTCACAGTTCATGAGAACTGCAAACCATCAGCTGCAATGGCTGATGGTTCTTGTAGGCATTCATTCACAGGAAACGTTGACTGAATGATGCGGCCGTGTGGGTGGAGCCCCGAGTGGCCGTGGCATTTTTAAATTGTAACAGCGGGTGAAGATCCCTGCTCAGTTTCACAAGGATGGGGGGATAGGGTGGGAGAGTCTGTAAATGCTGCAGCATGTTCCTAAGGTGAACTTTATCCTTTTAAAGGGTTAGTTCACCTTTACTAAAAATAAAATGCCCATGCAGATAAGGGACATATGTAGATAAAGAAAAAAACTGTGCAGCTTTGACAAATTGAATAATACCCTTGCTATTATAGGTGTAAGTCATTTACGTACCTCATGAAGCCTGAGCTAAAAACTCCTAGGATGTTACTAGGACATTGCTAAGCAAGGCCTAGCTATTGCTGTTCACATTGTCATGTTTGAGTTGGTCTTAATTACTTACATTTTCATTATCTACAAACTGGAGGTATTTCTTTATTCATTCAGAGCAGCCATAGTGCTGCTTTATAATGGTGCTAGGAAGAACTACCTGAATATGTTGCATGTTTTGGTAAAGCTACTAAAACTGGCGGTAAAGGATTTTTAAAATCTGGTGCAGGACTTTGTAAAGGGCTATACTGCCAGCAAAGTGGCATGAAAGCTTTCTTGAAGTGTTTTTGAGTGTTCCTGGAACGATAATGTTGTATCTGTTGGCAGGTGTAACACAGTGGGTGTGCCTTAACCACTTCCAGACCGGACACTTTTACCCCCTTCCTGACCAGGGCTATTTTCAGCTTTTAGCGCTATCGCACTTTGAATGACAATTGCGCGGTCATACAACACTGTACCCAAATGAATTTTTTACCATTTTTTTGAGACAGATAAAGCTTTATTATGGTGGTATTTATTCACCACTGGGATTTGTATTTTTTTTGCTATGTTAATGAAATGTCCAAAAATTTTGAAAAAAAGTGGGTTTTTTTTTTATAAAATTTTGCAAATAAATAATATTTCATCATAAATCTTAGCCAAAATGTATTCTGTTATCTTTTTAGTAAAAAAAAAAAAAATCCAAATTGGTTTATAACCAAAAAGTATAATTAACCATTTTTTTTTACATTTTTATTTTATTTTTTTTATATTATTATTATTTTTTTTTTTTTTTACATACTGTCACCCTAGCAGTACAGTGTCACCATGGGGTGATGAAGATTTTTTTTTACACTGATTGCTTTTACACCCATATAGGATGTAAAAGCAATAATTTCTCTTTCTCTCTGTCTGCATTCTTGCACTCATTGAGAAGTACTGAGTGAGCTGTGATTGGTCACAGCTTGTCACATGGTACAAGGCTTTTGTGAATAGCCTTGTACTATGTGACCTCTGTGATCATTCACAGATTTCACACGTAGTAAGCAATGATGTCACAAGTGACATCTTGCTTACTACTTTGCATGTGATCACTGATTGGCCAATCAGTGATCACATGATCGGGACCTTGTACAGAGGTCCCGTCCGACGATCGGTGTTTCACTGTGTCCGGAGGACACAGCGGGCACCGGATCGCAGTGCTGCGTGCTCCCAGGGAGCGCGCACAAGCAGGGTGCGGGGAGGCCGTTTATAAACGGCCACCCCACCCTGCAGTGCCACCGTCCAGCCGTTTATATACAACGGCCGATCGGGAAGTAGTTAAGGCCATTCACACCAGTCTGGGCTGCTGCAGTGTTTAAAGCACACAAGGTGACATACACTATATTGCCAAAAGTATTTGGGATGCCTGCCTTTACACGCACATGAACTTTAATGACATCCCAGTCTTAGTCTGTAGGGTTCAATACTGAGTTGGCCCACCCTTTGCAGCTATAATAGCTTCAACTCTTCTGGGAATTCTGTCCACAAGGTTGAGGAATGTGTCTATGGGAATGTTTGACCATTCTTCCAGAAGAGCATTTGTGAGGTCAGGCACTGATGTCCGATGGATGAGAAGGCCTGGCTCGTAGTCTCCGCTCTAATTCATCCCAAAGGTGTTCTATTGGGTTGAAGTCAGGACTCTGTGCAGGCCAGTCAAGTTCCTACACCCCAAACTCTCTCATCCATGTCTTTATGGACCTTGCTTTGTGCACTGCTGCGCAATCATGTTGGAACAGGAAGGGGCCATCCCCAAACTGTTCCCACAAAGTTGGGAGCATATAATTGTCCAAAATGTCTTGGTATGCTGACATCTTAAGGGTTCCCTTCACTGGAACTAAGGGGCCAAGCCCAACCCCTGAAAGACAACCCCACACCATAATCCCCCTCCACCAAGCTCTACACTTGGCACAATGCAGTCAGGCAAATAACGTTCTACCGGCAACCTCCAAACCCAGACATGTCCATCAAATTGCCAGACAGAGAAACGTGATTTGTCACTTCAGAGAACATGTCTCCACTGCTCTAGAGTCCAGTGGTGATGTGCTTTACACCACTGCATCTGACGCTTTGCATTGGACCCATTCCATGAAGCTCTCTACTATGAACTGTCATGCTAATCTGAAGGCCACACAAAGTTTGGAGGTCTTTAGCTATTGACTCTGCAGACAGTTGGCTACTTCTGCGCACTGTGTGCTTCAGCATGCGCTGACCCCGCTCTGTTATTTTCCATGGCCTATCACTTTGTGGCTGAGTTGCTGTTGTTCTCAGTTGCTTCCACTTTGTTATAATACCACTAACAGTTGAGCGTGGAATATTTAGAGGCATGGAACTTTCACAAATAGGTTGCTACCTGTGCAATTTGTCTATCACGGTGCCACACTTGAATTCACTGAGCTCCTGACAGCGACCCATTCTTTCACAAATGTTTGTAGAAGCAGTCTGTATGCCTAGGTGCTTGATTTTATACACCTTGGAGGTGATTGGAACACTTGAATCCAATGATTTGGAGCGGTGTCCCAAAACTTTTGGCAATATAGTGTGTTGGTTTGCCCATTAACTTTTTACCTTTTTAGATGTATTTATGTAGCGTTGACAATTATGGCATCGCTTTTCATATATCGTAATTCACATCAGTACCTGCCATCAAGGAGCTTACAGTCTAAGGTCTCTATCTCTTATTCATACATACACATATTAGGGCCATACTGTTGGTGGGAGAATTAATGAATTTTTCTCATTTAGCTTGTTGAAAACAGAGCAGTGTATGACAGCATTACCTCAAATGTCTAATCTGTAATCACCACTGTGACATGTTCTGCCAGTGACTCCTTATAGAATTTCTGGAATGTTTACTCACCTCATCTGCATAGGACGCTGTTGGTTTAGTGATGATCTGTTTAGAAAATATTTTTAGGATTAGAATTTTTATTCCTAGGACCTGATTTACTAAACTGTAAAGCTTTGTGAAGAGAAACTGTTTACCTTGAAGTTGAACTAAACCCATCAATTTAATGGTTTCAAAAAAAGTTCCTTTCTCGGCATTCCGGGAAAGCTAACTGTCACATTTGCTTGTGTTCTCAGCCAAACCGTCAAACCAATAAATGTCTGGTGTCATAACTGGTCACATGTGCAACATCATGGAAGTTGAAGATCAAACAGAGGCTAAGATGGCAGCTTCCTTGGTTGAAAAGGATAAAGGAAGGCTTAGTTCCACTTTAACCTCCTGTCATGTTTGGGTGAAACACACAAGTTTCAAAAAACATTCATGTGCCGGGAATGTAACTGTCACATTTGCGTGTGCTCTCAACCAAACCGTCAAGCCATCAAATGTTTCTCAACTGATCACATGTGCAGCATCATGGCAGTTGAAGATCAAACAGAGGCTAAAATGGCCACTTCCTTGGCTGAAAAGCATAGGAGGGTTTAGTTCCCTTACTATGTCAATAAATAACACTGGGGAAATTTGCTAAAATCAGGGCAGACAGAATCTGGGGTAGCTGTAATAACCAGTCAGGTGCTATCTTCAGTCCAGTTAAGCTTTGGAAGAAGCCAATTGGTTGCCATGCACAGCTGCTCATTGTATCCTCATAATCGTATGAGGTTAATACATACTAGTGTTTAGTATATGAATACATTGTTCATTTATTTTGCTTTTTTAGTGTTCGTTTTCCCACATTTCTGTGCAGATCAATCTGTCCAGCCAAAGTGACAGGCACTGGGACAGTTTACAATACCTCCTGGGCTTCTTATAATGGTTAGCTCCATTGAAGCAGCATGGTTGCTACCAAAAATAAGAGATCTAATACTATTCTGATGTGGCAAATCCAACACAAACACTTTACTCCTGCGCTAGGAAAGGACTCAGTAGACCCAATAGGAATGTTCTGGAATTTTCTGGAATATGCACTGCTTGCTGCCCTCAACAGAGCGGTTGGAATGTTCTGGAATTTTCTGGAATATGCACTGCTTGCTGCCCTCAACAGACCGGGGTGGTCCGAATACACTGGATACAAATGGAGAAACAGAAAAAGGGCGCACCGACCTAGTGCATTATCGTTTAAAATAATTTATTAAAGAAACAAAAATAGGTATCATACTCACAATGGACATAATAACACAGGCATGTCAAACTGAACAAGGTGTATGATCCAAACAACATCTGAGTCCATACGATGGAACCCTGGATGACCAACTGGCTAACGCGTTTCGAGGACACAACCTCTTCCTCAGAGCCAACCAGCTCTGAGGAAGAGAATGTGAGCTTTATTACGCAATTGCATCATAACAACTGAAGCAACGTTTCGGAGGCACACAGGACCACTTCATCAGGAACGTGCTCACATGCCTGGTGAAGGGGTCTTGCCAAGCTCCAAAATGTTGCTTCAGTTGTTATGATGTGATCACTTAATAAAGCTTATCAACCATTCTGAAGATCCCTGGTGTGCTGGTGACATACTTTCACTTTGAATGCCTTTGGTTTCCAGCGGTGGTCGCTGCAGCACCCATCTATGTGTACAGCCATTCTGCATGAACATGTGCTTTGGGAACACCGGGTTTGCTGTAGTAATGTAGGGGTCAGTAGATGGAGATACATTGCTCAGTAGGGATCCAGGCATTTGACACTCCAGGAGGAATGTTTGGTGGCCATAGCTTTTGATGAGAGGCCTGCCTCAGAGGAATGTATTATGGCTTTTGGAGGAAACTAAATATTTTGCTTTGTTATGCTGAACTACATATACTTATCAGAATACATTTTTTGTGAAATTTTTTTTTTTTTTTCCCCTTTGGGGTGAAAGATTTGCCAGACATCCCTGACTATAAATGGACATCTTTAGACCATATATTCAGTTTGCATACCATAAGGTAGCAAAGCCCTTTTGGGTATACTTATATTTTTACGTTCGTCACATATATAAAAAAAGCTTACAGTGGCAATAAGTAGCTGTGTAATTACTGTTTTCACTGATAGATCAGGTCAGGACATTTTGGATGTTGTAGAATGATCATCGTTTTGTAGGAATTCCTGTAAACCGCTTTAAAAAAATAAGCAGTGCTTCTGATTTCGAGGTTTGCTTGCAATCATCATACGGTCTCTGATGTGCTAGAGGATAACAAGTGCCTTAGGCTGTCGGAGGTACTCATTACTGCACAGGGAGGTTTTTCTAACTTGAACGCTGCAGGATTCCGTCTCAAGCTGGGCCAAGATCACTGGTTGGGACCCTGGTGGGTACATCTCTCCCGCCCCCAGCTGACAGCTACATTTGCCTGAGCAGATTTTGTTTATTTCAGAAACCGACAGAGAAAAAGTAATGCAGAATTGCTCTTCCTTTCAGGGGTTTCTCTGAAAGAATGGATGGAGAACTTAGGGGTTTGCCAATAGGTGTGCAATAAGTCAGGATTTTGGCTTTTGGGGTGGTTTGGAATCTTGGAAGCCAGGACACGTATCATTCGATTCTGAGAGTTAGGAATAAGCTGATTGAGGTCTGCAGATATTTACCTGTAACTAGCATTTTCAGGTTTAGAGTTTAGTATTGGCACTCTCTACGGTTTCAGTTAGTTCTGCTTCAGGATGAACCTGCAGATGTTTAGGATCCTTTCACGTAGGTGATCTGAGCAGGTTCGGCTGGCAGTTTTTCAGGCAGACCTGCAGATGGTACATGCATTCCTATGGACCGGCGGATGTAAATGGACTTCTTCACGGATCAAGCCCACTAAAAAAAAAAATGGAGGTGGACTTTGTTCTCTTCTTTTTGGGTAGACCAGATTGGAGGCAGCCGGGTGTAAACGGACAGCAGAGTCTATTTATTCCTGAGCACCCATGGAGCACTCTGCTCTGATCAGCAAAGGATCTGTGAGTGGATACCCTGCTGATCAGAATACAAACCGCCCGTTTGAAAGGGCCCTAACTATTCAGACTCCAATAGTTGCGGTCTTATCTAAAGTGGACAAAAAGGTTTTGCTAAAAAGAAGAGACTTGGTGCCATAAGTTTGAAATTACCATTTTATTTCAGGAAGAGGCTATGTAGATCCTCATTTGGATGCTACATTACAGTTGGGGCCCATTCACCCCACAAAGCTTTGCATGGTTTGTCACTTGGTTGTGGTGCATTAAACAGTCCATTGAAAGTAGCACAGCAAACCACTTGAAAGTAGGTTAAGCAGCATTTTATTGCAGTGTTAGCGCATGGGTTTTAAAGTTGCAGTGCCATTCACAATGAATGTCTCCTCAGTGCACCAACACATGTAACGTGCTCTGTGGTAACTTGCATCTTGTCATAATACAATGGTGTGACTCGGTCCAAAGAAAGAGGCCCCTTTTAGTGTTTCCTGTTCCAGGGATGTGAGATATTATTATATTTACCTTGTTTATACTGCTCTGTGAATATTAGGTTTGAGTAGTGTAAGTAAATGTGCCATGGTAAGGGGTACCCAGAAATAAATGCCGCGTACATTTCTAGCCAATCAACTTATATTAAAATTCCTAATGCTCTATGTAATCAGTGTGTCATTTCTATCAGTGATCTATTATTATTATTTTCCAAATAGAAGTTTGTGCCTGTGGAATGTAGCATAACTGGACTTGCAAGGTAGATTTGTGTTATTACCCTAAAAAGTAGTGTCTCATGTTTGTAATAGTATATTGCCAAATTGATTAGTCTTGGCTGGTTTGTGGCCTTTATGTAGTAATTTCATACTGGAAGTTGGGTGTTATTTTGTAGAGGTCTGTTTTATAAAAATCTTTATTTGCTACCCCTTGATGTTGTACTTCACTGAGATTTTGTGTAATTTTACAGGTCCTTATTCTGTTGACTTGAGAAACCCCAAATAAAAAGCCGTGAGGTTTAATGGGCTACAGTCAGGTCCATAAATATTGGGACATCGACACAATTCTAACATTTTTGGCTCTATACAACTGTTGTGAAGGGTGTTTTTCTTCACCAGGGAAAGAATTCTTCGGTCATCCACCACAGTTGTGTTCCGTGGTCTTCCGGGTCTTTTGGTGTTGCTGAGCTCACCGGTGCGTTCCTTCTTTTTAAGAATGTTTCAAACAGTTGTTTTGGCCACGCCTAATGTTTTTGCTGTCTCTGATGGGTTTGTTTTATTTTTTCAGCCTAATGATGGCTTGCTTCACTGATAGTGACAGCTCTTTGGATCTCATCTTGAGAGTTGACAGCAACAGATTCCAAATGCAAATAGCACACTTGAAATGAACTCTGGACCTTTTATCTGCTCATTGTAATTGGGATAATGAGGGAATAACACACACCTGGCCATGGAACAGCTGAGAAGCCAATTGTCCCATTACTTTTGGTCCCTTAACAAGTGGGAGGCACATATGCAAACTGTTGTAATTCCTACACCGTTCACCTGATTTGGATGTAAATACCCTCAAAATAAAGCTGACAGTCTGCAGTTAAAGCACATCTTGTTCATTTCATTTCAAATCCATTGTGGTGGTG